CTTGTCATGCCCTCATCCCTTTGCTTCTTTTTTCAGAATGAAACTCTAAAAATTGAACTCCGATTGTATTTCCTCCTCCTTGTCACGTTGTCGTCGTCACTTCTTTTTCCATGGACATTTGGAAAAGCCATTGTCTCCATTTGTGAACGGCAATTAATCACTTTTTTTCCCCGTTCATGTTTTGCAAGACCAGTGAAGTCACTGAAGTGCTATTTTTGTGTTTCTTTTGGGGAGTAGGGGGCTAGGAGGGGGTGGAATAAGGCTGATTTCATGGGGTTTCATGGGGTGAGATGGCTAGGAGGGGAAGGGGGTGGGGGATGTGTTTTTCGGAGTGAACGCAGGACACGGCTGAGTTTGTGGCTTCTCTTCTGTGGTTTTGTGCGCAGGTCATGATGACGAGCCATATGTATAGTTCCGCTTCAATAAAACAGCCTGGCCATGAAGACGCCATGAAGACGGAGTCCGTGAAGGAGGGTCGAGGCAGGTGCTGATCCATGTGGCAAGGGCGACTGATGATGGCAGCAGTCTTCCTAGTGTGTCCAGTGTGGGTGGGAATAGAGGAAAGGTGATTGCTGCATACCTTGCACTCATAATGAAAAAAAGAAAAAAAGATTCCCGACAGGATATGGCCGCACCCGACAGCACGCGGCCCGTGCAGTCCTGTACACCGTGTACGGTACGGGTACGGGCCCGGACCGGACCCCGTACGGCGCACCAGACTGTGGCGCGCTGTGCGGTTGCAAGTATGCTTGGTAAGTTTCACAGAAAATAGGCTATGCGGCTCTTAGTACCCCCGTCGCCTGGTAAGTTTTTTACAGAAACACAAAGTCGAGCATGTGCATCAGGCACAGAGAAGCACAACTGTCTTCACTCGAATACAACGTATGGTCACTATTGCTGTATTTTAGACTGGAAGATACCCCAAATACAGCTATAATGACAGTACGTTGTATTCGGGTGAAGACGGTAACAACCAGCATCGAAGTGCAGTGGACTCACATACAAGGAATACGGGACAAATGCTTGCACGGTTTGAAATGCAGACCTGAGTTCTTTTGAAAAAGCTCAAAACCGACTGGCCTAGATCAGTTGGTACACCAGAAACTGAGTTCTTTTCAAAAGGTTCAAAACCGACTGGCCTAGCTCAGTTGGTACACCACAAACAGTTGAAAAGCACCTGAGTTTGCAGTAACCCGTGTTCTGCAGCAGTCTGGGCCCTCTAAACGGAGCCCAGACGACGCAGGCCAAACTCAGCCTGCGCCAGGAAGTGTGACCACGCACTGCCTAGGAAAGTCAAAAGTCTCAAGTCAACTGTCAAA